GTTATTTTGGAACATCCAATTGGTCCGAGTGAGCGAACTGATTCTTTTAAGCTATAAACTGTGCCACAGCTGTGGTGAATCGTTGATCTGCCGACGAGTTAGTCAAGACGCAGATCGTTTAAGAGTACTTTCAACACGATGACGAAAGTGGATATACAAAATTTTCTAATAGACAATTTGTATTTTTAAGACAGCTATAAGAAAGAAGAACTTCTTAAAGTATTACGGACGAAACAAATTAAAAGAGTATACGCCATAGATAGTATTGCTGAATATCATGGACATACTGTATTGAAATTTCCTTTTATTTTTGTATTATTAGACCACATACTTTAGTGTCGTTTACCTTATCGTTCATCAATTAAATTAAAATTTCTTCATTTTGCAGTATTGACGATTAATTTCAATTATTTTAATCTAGAACCGAGCGGCTGACGAGAAAAATACAAGATACCGTATTGATGTAGAATTGACCAGGCAAATAAGTAAAAATATTAACATGGAAAAATGTCAGTGGCGTACTACTTTTTTTGTAGAAAATATCAGATGACATATTTGCAAAGACGCCACTGGTAGAGCAATAAAATAAATTTTCTAACTAAAATATATGGTTTTATATCCCATTAACACATGCCAAAATTGAAAATTTTATCTATATATTAAAAAATATCTCTTTAAAAAACAAATTTTCAAGTGCCTGTAGCAAAAAATTGAAGCCGTTGCAGACATATGTTCATATGAATTTTTCTTCATAAAATGACCTGAGGAATCACACTCTACAATATTAGCATACCAATAAAAAACACCCTGTATAAATTGTAAAAACAGGGAAGCAATTTTGAATTTTTAAAAATTAATTCTAGATTAGTTATCTTTGATCAGATAAAATGTTTATCAGAAACCAATTTTAGTTGAAATCTGCTGACTTTTAAAAATAAATGTTTTTTAATTGCTCACCCTGTATATATCTGATCGGAAGTATAACCAGTTTTAAGCCAAGAGGAAGCCTTACCTGCATACAAAATTTGAAGTGTTTCTTCTAAGCCGTTTTTGTGAAAATCTAACGTGAAAATATCGAGGGAAGTAAAAATAAAATAAGTATACTCAATCTCTTGAATGCTCCTCTACTAATTTAAAGGTGATGTATCAGTCTCCTTAGTTTCCCAGCTAGCACATAACGTTGCCAAGCCTTTCGGCGATGTTGCATTAAGGGAACGTAATAACATTACTGTACAACGTAAATGCAACGTTCATGAGAAGTTGTTGAGGGAAATCAAAACCTCGCAAAACTTCTATTTGTTATTTACCTAATTAACCTACCGTAAACATTACAAATCTGAATTCAGAACGTTTAGTTTTATATCAATTGTCACTTGTCAGTTTTTCTTGTCAATTGTCTCTTTTAATGGTTTATTTTTCGACATCCAGAATTTATTTTATAAATAATTATTATTTATACATTCGAATAGATTTGGTAAGGGTCTTCTATAAAATAGATAACTATTTTCTAAACCATTGTCTTTATTTCAGATTACAATGCCTGATGTAAATTTATTATTTCATTCATTAAGTATCTTTAGCAGTCGATGCCGATGACACCAAATAAAAAAAAAACTACAATAAAAACAAAAAATTGCAGATCAATCGTTGTAAACCAGAAGATAAACATTTAACCGAATGTCCGGCAACATTTTACACCAAATACTTATAAAAGGTAATTATACTTTTTCCTACGACCACTTAGGAAAGTGACACATATCACACTATATAGTCCTATGGAAAGTGCCCTATATCACACGCGTATGAATAAGAATTTACTTTCCACCCGAGTGAGAATATGTTACTTTCCGCAGTAGTTGTCACAAAATGTCAAACAGCTAATTTCCATTTTGATCTATGTAATATCCATATTAATACTAAAATCGATATGATTGTTAAATTATTGAAATTGTTGTAAATTAGATCCTAGATATTTATCTTTAACAATTATTATTAAAATAATTTTAAAATAATGATTGCTCTTTATTCTGGTTGAATACATAATCGATTAGATCATTCAATTGACACAAGGGCTATTAGCTCAGGTGGTTAGGACGTCGAACTTATCAACTTTGCCATTTTTCGACCGCGTTCAATCGATGGTTCAAATCCTGGCGTGGCAGAAATTTTTTTTGTTTTTTTTTGTTTTTTTTTTCTAGTTTTTTTTTTTTTTTGTTTAAAAAATATGAAAATTGAATAAATACAATTATTATTGTTGATTATTTTTTTAAATACATTTTAATTATTATAGTAACAATAACCTTGGTTTTACATTTTTTTGATGATATTATTTTGTGGTCGTAGGAAAAATATTGTACATCACTTGTGTGAAAAGTGATTTTCCACACTCGTAATGTAATATACTATATCGAACTAAAAATACATTTTAAAAATATTATTTTTTAGGTTTCCTTCGACATTCTAGGAATTTTAGAAGCAAAAGTAAATACTACAGAAGTGTAAAGAAGAATATAACACCTGAAGTTTTATAAAAAGTGAATCTATAGGTACAGGATATGTCAGGTATATCAGAATTCAAGCAGTTCATTCTCTTCAACAGGCTAGATTGCCTGGAAATGCAACCATCAGTTCAAGTTAAAACCCAGCAAAAAAGTTGAGAGAAATCATAGATGATACTCTTGAGTATAATAGAATATCTTGCTAAAAAACACCAGTTGTTTTTTATAAAATCTACATATGGATGGCTCAATCAAATACTGCCACAACTAAAATACTATTATTTCGAGAAATTTCATTTTGAAATTTTGTAAGTCTCTATTATCATTATTTTGTTTTTGACATACTCTTTATATTTTATTTAAAAGCTTCGATATTTTGCTGTTAAATAAAATGATTACGATTATAAAAGTAAGTTGTTGCATAGTTGTAAAAAATTTGGGTGTTTTTGAAGAAAATAACTCGAATTGAGGCAGTTTTAGACACAGTTTGTGGCTACATTTTAAATGATTTATCTTTAAGGATATTTTTGTTTGTGGTGGTATTTAAAGTAAAACCGTAATGATATTTTGCATCCATTGAACCAAAAATGTAATTGCTTTGTTTTTTGACTTGTGGCGGTTTTTGATTGAGCCATCGATATATCTACTTTGGAAATCAAGCATAAAATTTGTAAAATTCAAACAAATTTCAATACACTAACATTGGTTGTTTTATTTAAAACAACAAAGTAAGGCATATTTTTTAATTTCTATATAATTTCCTTTAATTAATAATAGGTAAACAAGTTATCAATTTCTTTTTTATTCAATGTATTGAGAAGTAAAATCTTTTTATATAAAAATATAATTTATGCTCTTCTAATAAATTGTCGTATTTAGGTTACATTATAGCACTTTATAAATATCTATGCAAAAAAGTTAAAAGGCTTGATTTAAAAAAGATATATCTCTGCGTCTTAGGTAAGAAATCAGCAAACTTAGCTATCCTCTAGTAATCTAATATAATAATATGTACCTAGTCATTGTTGTATTCGTTTATTATTTTTCACCAATCTAGCTTTATCATCGTTCACCATTTAAGGTTTTAGTGAACCTTTGCAATATTGGTACCTTATTATACTATTTAGCTAATTTTGTCCAATCGTTCAGTGCTTTCTAGGTAGCTTCTTCTATCCCACATGTGTACTTGTGTTTGTGATATAAGGTGTGTTCTTTTATTCAATAATTGTTCCATCAGTGATTGATGTAATTTATCTATTCTGCAGTCGTTTTATATTTGAACTCTTATATTTTAGGTTAACTTAAATGATTGATTATCCTCACCATTCGTCTATCACATATGCCTTGGCTCATTGGTGAACTCACCGCTGGAAAAAAGAATGATTGACACATACAATCGTCTTTCCATCACTTAATTTACGAACGGTTTGCTGCAAGCGCTGGATACAGCACTGAATAAAAGAACACGCCTACACCTACCTCTACTTTTGTGCTATTGGTACTTGATTTCAAGAACATTTTAATAATAAATTTATATAAATATTTTGTTTTATTTGAAATTTTCATGTCTCGATTGAGATTTTACTATAGCCTCAATTTCAGCCTCTCTGTATTACATTACACAATGTGTGTCCACGGATGGACTTAATTATACTTGTAAAAATATTTATTTTAAATTAAAGAAAAAGTTATTTTTCATAATTTCTCAATGTGAATCGAATTTATTTAACAAGCAAGAAATTATGAAGAATTACTTTTTTAATTTAAAATAAATATTTTCACAAGTATAGTTAAGCCCATCCGTGGACACACTGTATAATGCTGTAGATCTAATTCACATTATAACATCAATAGAACGTTTCAGAGCAACTTTCGGGGTAAGTACCGTAAAAGTGCTAGTGTGATGTTTTTCGAACTTCACTTTGTAACTTCTGTGAGATGTGCTATAAAAGTCTTGCCGTTGCGGACATTCGGTAGTTGCAGGGAGATAAGGGTTACATTTACAGTACATTGCATGCGAGCTTAAAGAGCCTAAAATTGCAGCTTATTAACGTAGATGGGATGTTTTTGTGCTAGCTAGGTTGTTTTTTGTATGTTGCCAGCTGGCTTTAAAGCTTTAAAGTCACACTATATCGTTTGCTTGTGCTATACCAGAGACTGACTCAATTAAAAGGGCATATAAAATAAGATAAGTTTTCCAAGTAACTGAAAAACTTGGTGGTGCTCAACTTTTTTTGTTGTTGTCTTATTTTAATATCTTTCATTTTATCTTAAAGTAGATCTTGGCCCGCGAACAGGTCAAGCTACTCTAATTTTATTTGTCCTGGCCAATTTATGAATCCACGCAATACCAGCAATTTGACCTAAATCACCTATTAAATATAATTTACATCGTAGAAATCAAAAAGAAGGTAACAGCATCTTACTACAAATTTCGATGCCAGATACGAGTTTTTTAGTTTTTCCGGAAAATTGATCAAAAATTACAGAGATATAATTTACCTTCATATAGTAAGACAGCTGACAAACAAACAGCAGGATCCGTGCATTTAGTAAGTGTTTCAAGTCCTTTACATGCGTCATCGCTCCTTTCAGTCACGAAGGTTGTATTACAAGTATAGCATTCAAGGGAAGCACCTAAAAACAAAACAAAAAACGATAAATAATGTATTATATCATCAGCTGTAAACAGAGCTTTATGTTGTTTATAATACGATGTAAAGAATTTTGAGATTTATCCACTGCAGTGGTCGAGTGATGTTTTTAGTTACTCCGTGTAATACCTTAAATTTTGTGGTTTATTGTTATGTAATCTATTTTTGAATGGTCCCTTAAGAGCGATATCCATGGTTAGAAACGGGCTCGAAACGGCTACAAGGTTTTCTCTTTCAATTTCGAATATTTTTTTTTTGAAATTTTCTATACCTGCTTTGTAAATGATAGAGAATCCCGCTGTAGAGCCCAAATTCAAAAAAACATATTTTTATAATTTTTCTTTACAAATTATGAAAGTTATTGCAAAAAGGAATCTTTACCGGGAATTGTTATATAAAAATCAACTAATTCTTTCTTATACATTTTTTTGTCCATAGCGTATATTTTTTGAAAACCTTGATTTACGAAAACTGAGAAAATGTATCAAGATTTATATTCATATAAATTGATTTGGCAACAAGGCGGCGGACGTTGTGTGCAGTACCCGAACCGAAAGTATTTATTCGATGGCTTTGTCTTGAAGTCGCTGAAATTATTCAAAAACTTTTTAGTTTCTTGGAATTTAATATATTATTTATTATTTTGTTTTTAATTGCTGTAATTAGGTATAGTTTATTTTGTATATAGGGTTGAGATTAAAGTTTGTAACAGTAAATATCTTTAAAACGAAAAGGACGATATTTATGAAACTTTGCAGGCGAGTTATTGTCAGAAGGTGAACGGCGAGCATTTTGAATATTTGAAGTGATTTTGTTTAAAGTATTATTCTCATTAGACTAAAGTAAATAAATTTACCTATTCTTTAAATGTAAAGTGATTTATTTCTCGTTTTTATAAATAATTTCCACTAAACTTAGTATGTACGAATTCGGAATAACAGGATCTTTTAAAATCTGCCCTCTAAATTACAAAAGTTGAGGGTATTTCCGGTGAAACCGGAAGTACAGTAGTAACAAAAAATATGGCATCAGATGCGTTATGCGTCATTGTATTTGCCTGCAAAGTTTCATAAATATCTAGTTATAATTGGGATTAAATAAAATATTAACAATTGAAATGGCAAATTTTTTAATCGCACCGTCGCGTCATTCTATCGTGTGCATGGAAGAGCTTCTCAAAATAAAAAAAAAATAAATTGTAATTTCGTTCAGGGTACACACCAAGAGAAAACTTTCCGGAATTTTTTCTAGTTGTCATGGAAACTTTATAACAAAAAAGCATTTGAGTTACTATAAAATAGAGGTGTCAAATTTTCACTTATAATACCAAATTTCCTGATATTAATTTAGGCACGTGTGGTGTTCGGTAAGAAAATTTTACATCGAAATATCAAATTTTGACAGACATGAATTAGAACGGCTAAAATAAAATTTGCAAAGTTGGCCATGCCAGTTATTCCTATTTGTCATATTTGAAGTCGTTTAGTCGACGCGAAAAACTTAATTAATGTGTTACTTATAATAATTGTACTGTATTTCTATCTAGTTATAATTGGTGTGAAATTATTAACAATAAAAATGGCAAATTTTTTAATCCCTCACACTGTCACGTCATGTCATAATGTAATGGAAGAGTTTCTTAAACGTCAAAAAATTTCAGTTGTAATTTCATTCTCCAAGAGAAAAATAAATTTCCGGAATTTTTTTTCTGTTTGTCATGAATACGTTTTGAAACAAAAGCATTTAACTATAAAACGGAGGTGTAAAATTTTTTCAAAAATGCTTCAGTGCGTTTTTGTTTTCGAGCAATTCTCTAGTACCATGAGATTGTAATTTAAGACACTTTCATTACAGAATTGTATCTTCACAAGTTTCAGTTTCTGAATTTAGGACCTCGACGGAATATAATTCCGGTGCTCGTAATGTAATCAAGTAAGAATTTTTTTTAATTTTTTTTTCTAATTATTCTACGAAAACAGTATATAAAATATATCTTACATAAATGGTAACTACCCAGATATTTATACTAAAATTCTTAATTTAGGAAAACGTCATTATCTTCTCGTGTTCCTAAGTGTAGGCTACTGGGATGAATCTGATACCTCACATAAAGATGAAACACCTGAATTCAGGATTTCGGCGCAATATAACTCCGGTGAATATAATGTAATCAAGTAAGAATTGTATTTTTTTAAAATTTTTTTCTGATTATATTATCATAAAATTACGTAAAAAATATTATAAAAAATTGGTTCCTACACAGATATTTATGCGGAAATTTTTATTTCAGTAAAAAATTAGAATCTTCCCCTGTTCCTGGGTGTAGCTACTGGAAAGAATCCAATTCCTCCCATGAAGGTGAGACACCTCCAGCAAAAAGAAAATGCAAAGAACAAGAAAAAATCAAACCGGAGGGTAGGAGGAGGGTAGATTTTTAATTTTTCTTCAAAGAAATTCAAAAAATTTCACACCATGCCTTATTTAATTGTACTTTAAAAGATATGGAAATTATTCATGAAAATAGAAATGGATTATGTAGTAGATTTTTAGTGAGGTGTAAAATGTGTCTTATTGAACATTGCATAACATTGAGGACTTTGAGCACACGATGAATATAAATGTAGCTGCAGCATTAGGAGCACTCTCGATAGGAATAGGTTTTTCTTAAATTGAAGAATTCATGGCTGCCTTGAATATACCATTTATGTCTCCTGGAAAATATCAAAGTTGTCACGAAAAATTAGCAGGTCACATTCACAATAAAGCTTGGGAAAATATGGAGAGAGCAGCTACTGAGGAAGCTAATCTGGCACGCGAGCTTGGCGAAGTTGATGACAAAGGTCATTCTTATATAACTGTTGTTGGCGACGGAGCACGGAGTAAGCGCTCATATAATGTAAATTATAATGCACTATCAGGAGTAGCATGTGTTATTGGAAAAAGAACGGGTAAAATATTATTTTTAGGAGTAAGAAATAAATATTGTTGTATTTGTGAAAGGGCTATCGCCAAAAACATACAACCAATACCTTATCATAAATGTTATAAGAACTGGGATAGTACCTCTACAAGTATGGAAACTGATATTATTGTGGAAGGATTTAGGTGTAGTTTAGAAATGTATGGACTAATTTTTTTACGACTTGTAGGTGATGGCGATAGTAGCGTGTACAATAAATTAGTAGAAACAAGGCCCTATGCGAATACTTTAGTGCAGAAAATAGAATGTAAAAATCACTTACTTAGAAATGTTTGCAGAAAATTAAGGGAAATATCCGGTAAAAAACGAAGTACCTCTAAAAATTGTGCAGTTCCAATATTTTTAAGGAAACACATTTTAAAAAGTATTTTACGTATCAGAACTGCATGTAGTAAAGCGGTTTTATATCGGACAAACGAAGAAAAACCACTTACAGAAAAAATACAGCTTTTGTGTAAAGATTTAAAAAATATACCATCACACGTATTTGGTGAACATTCAAAATGCCAAGAAATTGGGTACTTTGAATGCAAACCGAATCCTAGTGAAAAAAACTACATTAAAGAAATGAAAAATTGTGGTTTACAATTCGATAATATATAAGTTTGTTGGTGGAAAACGTATTAATTTTTCTCTAAGAGGATCATACGCTTCGAGGTGTGAAGTTGCCTTAAGATATTTTAATGTAGGCAGATCTGATTACTACAAAGAGGTTTTTAAAGCTGTTACTAACAAAAGTCCAACGGGTAACACAAAAAAATATTCCGATAAAATTACAAGACGTAGGCTTTGGCATGAAAAAAATATAAAAGGAAAACGTGTCTTTAAAAAAAAGGCAAAACAAAGTTGTCTTCCTGATAAAGATTACGGTTTGCAAACTTTGGACAACAAGGAAAAAATTCCAGATATACCTGACAATGAGTACGAAGATAAAAAAATTACCTTTCTAAAACATCTTCACATATCATCGAATGAAATTATACAACTTGAAAAAGAAACGAGAGGGAAAGCTGCACGGAAAAAAATTTGACTAGAAAATTTTACTACAATGTTGTAGTAGTAGACTTGTAGAAAAATACTTAACAATTTGTAGAAAATTTTACTACAATTTATAGTTAAAAACTATTAATTATTGTAGCAATTGAATTGTCGAATAAAATGCTACAACAATAGGAAAGAATTCCACAATGTTTAGTATATTTTACTATTATTTGTAGAAGTAGAAATTTATTACAATTATCGTAATTACTACTACTAACTTCTGAAAAAATTTGTACAAATATTAATAATTATCTCTACAAAAAATAGTAATTTTCTCTACAAAAAATAGTAATAATTTACATCCCTTCTTATGAAAAATATTCAATTTTGTTCAAAAATATTCTATAATATTGTAGAAATTCTAAGTCATGTGAACAAAACAGAATTCTGCTATTGGCCAACGTTTTCTGACGTCGATCATAAATGGCCAGACAGCAGTAGCCGTTCGCCATGTTCACATAACAAAGCATGGTACATATACGAGTACCTATAACACATTATTATATTATAAGCACCGATGCGTCTTAAGCACTTAATTACAAATAATTATCTTTCATTCATTTATTGTGTTTCAAAATAATATAAAATTTATGTATCTGATCTTTAAATGACTTTTTTTCAAAAAAAATTGTTATGTCAGATATTTCAAATATTATGTTTCCGAGTAGGAAATTGCAAGATCTATCAAAATAAAGAAAAAAAAATTGAGGTTGCTATTTAAAAAAATTGTCAATGACGTCACTGCCCAAAAATGGGAAGTGGGGGAAAATTGAATTTTATTTAAAAAATTGCGTTTTAAGTAAACAAAATTGACCTGTCTGAGCATTTTTTCGAAAAACCAACCACTTCCATTATAATGAATTTATTCCTTTCATTTGAACCTTACTGTATATGTATGGGTAAATAAATAAAAAATATATTTCGTAAATAAAATATTTAGTAAGAAAAAAAGTTTTATTAAT